CCAAACCCTGTCAAAGTCTTCTTTTGTAGCTTTTGAGCATCCATCTTTGAGAAATCAAACAACGAAGGAGGAAACGAAGTAGCCAGGTTGTTAAAGTCAAATGCAGTAACACAGACCAGATACTCTTTAACTGATGCCAGGATATCACCAAAAACTACCCAAGTGGGTCGTTGACAAAAATTCAACAACGAACATGAAGGGTGCAATTTGACATGCTTACCTGTCAATGCTACCTCATAGCCAAGTTGATCATAACCAGAGAACATTGCCACATTTTCTGAAAGGGAAGAGAGAATAATGTGTTTCAAAGTTTCATCATGCTCAGTGTGCATATGTGGATCCCAATGCCAGTAAGTTGGAACAACAATACTCAGTTCATTTTGAAGACAGGCTTCCAGTTCTTCAACAGTCTCCTGGCACCTTCTCATGGTTTTGGCATTGATGCTATTATTCCAGCACCAGGCATTTTTCTTTTCTTGAGGCACAGCATCCCATTCCTTGTAAACAGATAGTAAAGTGAAGAGATCACCATCGGGATGGGAAAACTGAACCTTAAGGCAATCAGATTTTAGTTTATCTACTTCAGTACCAACTCTGCAGAAAATGCTGTTTGAATTTGCCATAACAGCAGCAAGAACAAGACCCTCTTTACCCAAATGGTGATGGAAACAACTAAGGATTATCTTACCCAACCGGGGCTCGATACCCAACTTCACTAGATAATGTCCATCTGCAGTTAATTCATAACCATCATCAATGCATGCAATAGCTCCTAAGTAAATCAGATTTCTGATAGCCATCTCAATTGCTTTAGGACTAGGTGCATCAACAAAATCAAAACTTTGCACGTCCTTGATGCCCAGGGCAAGAATCCTTAGCACAGCAATACCAAGATGAACCCTACGAATTTCAGGTTCCTTATGACAAGGCATATTCTCAAAATCATTTTTAGAGTACAGTCTATAGCACCTTCCAGGTTCAGTTCTGCCAGCTCGCCCAGCTCGTTGATTTGCTGAGCTTTTGCTGACTGGGCAAACCTTGAGAACATTCATGCCAGTTCCAGGTTCAAATCTGCTTTCTTTCACCCTCCCAGAATCAACAACATATTTGACCCCTGGAATTGTCAAAGATGTCTCAGCAACATTCGTAGTGAATATTACCTTTCTCTTTCCAGGGAAATTCAGGAAAACCCGATGTTGGTCTTCATAGGAGAGTTTCCCATGTAAAGGTAATGCAATGGCAGAGGGGGCTTGAAAAGTCTCAATAGCCCACTCTACTTCCATCTGAGAAGTCAGGAAGGCAAGAATTGTTCCCTCTCCCTCTGCTTTGTGGATATCAGTCACAGTGCTTACAACATCAGAAACATAAGAAGGAACCATACCAGAACCAGAAACAAAACTACCTTCACATTCACTGGGTACATACTTAATGTCCACCGGAAAAGTTCTGCCAGACACATAAAATGTTCTACAACCAAAGAAGTAATCTGTAAGCTGATCTGCATCAGCTGTGGCAGACATAATGATAAGCCTTAAATCATGCCTTTCATGAAGCAAGTTCCTTAGCAATGCTAAAAGAAGATCTGTGTTTAGGCTTCTTTCATGTGCTTCATCAATTATAATGCATGAAATCTTACACAAACTTTTATCTCTCAAATAATGCTGCAGTAGGCAGTGATCTGTCATAAATGTTACCTTTGATTCAAACTGATGAATGGATGAATATGATGGATAACAGGCAATAGATTTTTCTTTGTAGCAGCCAACACTTTCCTCTTTAACCCTATCTGCCAAAGAGATGGCAGCAAGTTTCCGGGGTTGAGTGCAGACTACAGCACCATTTCCAGCAATTCCTGAATCCGCAAGGAATTGAACCAATTGTGTACTCTTGCCTGAGCCAGTCTCCCCAATCAAAACTGTAACCTACAAGAAGTACATGTCAAAACACACAAATATTATTTACATACAGCATGAGCATGGTTGAAAGTAAAAAAGCAAATTAGCTAATGAACAACTGAGTATGTTGAAACGTTCTGGATAGGGAGGAGCCAAATATGAGAACTATCTGTACTGACCCTTCTTTTCAACATCAAATTCAAAGACTAAGTTTGGGTAACAAAGTTCAATCCTCAAGGATTCAGATTTAGGCAACGTGAAGGCAAAATCCTATAAGAGGTCTATTTTGGCAGTACACACAGCATAAATTAGAGAAAGCAGTCCAAAACCATGAGCAAAAAGATTTGAATAAGTGCTCTAATCAATAGGCAAAATTTCAGCAAGGGAACGCATATTTCTAGGAAAAGCTACTTTTGTTTCTGTATATCTAGCATATTGCTAACAATAAATGATGCAATAAACATAAAATGAAGCAAATTAAATAAATAACCACCTGTTGAGAATCTATTTGCTTAAGAATCTCTTCCCTGAAAGCAAAAATGGGTAAGCCATCCTCAAGTCTTCGGCATTCCCTCTTAATCAGATGAAGAATGCGGTCCCAATTGAACTCTGTTTCAAAGTTAAACAACGCCGTACTGTCTCCATGAACATCCTCCCCGGAGTACTTCCCCTCCAATTGAAGCACAATACAACTCACCCCATTCTTGAGCTCCGCTATCCTCTTTGCTATCAAGTCCTTTTCAGCCACAAAAGCCTCTTTCTTATTCAATAGTTCATTTGCAAGAGCGATACGTTTCGGCCTTCCAAGCAATTTGGAGACCTTTTTAATCTCCGCCTCCAGCAATTCCAACTTCTGCCTACATTTTTGCACTAATTCCCCTTCCATTAGCCCCTCGAGCTTCTCCAGAAACACACCTCGGAGCCGATCTTTCAATTCTTCCTTCTTTGACGACACCTCCGCGTTCTCTACCAGCGATGGTGCCACCGGAAGCCCCCCGTCGAGACGGATTCTCCATAACTTTACCACCACCTCCACAGCCTCACTCCACTGCTCGTAAAACAGAGTCCCTAAAACAGAACCGCTGTCGAAAACATAGGAACTTTGCGGTGGTGACGGCAATTTCTCGATGAGCTCGTCCAATTCTGATCTCTTCAGCGTCCGGCTACTCGAACGGAACTGTATAACGAATTTCTGCTGCGTCTTCGGCGGTCCAGGAAAACGATCACGACGGTTGCTGAACTGAGAATTCCACTGATGCTGATACGGCTGCCGCGGGCGGTAACAGTGGCCCGATTCCGTATAATAAAGCTTTTCCGGTGGCCGATTTCGCCGGGCGGTGTCTAAAACCCCTGGTCTATGCATTTGTACGATCGAGGTTTACCAAAAAATTTTACCACATTTACTCTAAAATTATACTCTCTTAAGTAAAAATTAAAAAATATATATATAAATAGAGAGTACTTGAATGACCATTTGGTTAGGGTTATATTAGGTTGATTATTTAAGAATAAGAATGTAATAAGAGTCAAATAGATCATCAAATTACATATAAAAATATAATTAAGATATTGAACTCAAAAGACATGCAATTAGGTCTTTGAATAAAATAAAATGATGCAATTGAATTCAAATTACCTGGTGGAGGTTAGTTTATTAAAATAATATCTTTTTATTTTATTATATAATTTTAAATGCCAAAAAAAAAACAGAAATAATTTTATTTCTCAAGTTCAAGATTTTAGTTAATATAGATTGTGTTGTATTCAATCATAATGTTTGAGAGTACAGAGAGGAAATATATAGATACTATATAGAATCCTAGTCTAACACGAATAATATAGTTATAGTCTAATATGGATAAAATAGTCATAATCTAATATGGATAACATAATCCTAATACTCCCCCTCAAGCACAAGATTGGCTAGTCAAAACATTGAGCTTGTCACGAAGAGAGTTAGAACGAATAGACGAAAGAGACTTGGTGAAGATATCTGCTAGTTGATCCTTGGTTGAAATAAAGTGCACCTCTAACTCCTTTTTGGCTACTTTATCACGAGCAAAATGATAATCAATCTCAATGTGCTTCGTGCGGGTATGAAACATTGGATTGACACCTAAGTAAGTAGCTCCCAAATTATCACACCATAGTCGAGGAGGAGACGCATGTGGGATGCCGACCTCTTGTAGCAGAGAAACAAGCCATGTAACCTAAGCAGATACATCAGCCAGACCCGTGTATTCTGCTTTAATTGAAGAACGTGATACTGTTCGTTGCTTCGGACAAACCCAAGATATAAGATTACTCCACAATAACACAGCAAAATCACTAGTAGACTTGCGATCATTCGGATCGCCATGCGTGAATATCCATCGACGCAGACCGAGAAATACGCAGACCAAAATGCAGGGTGCCTTTGACATATCGTAAGACTCTTTTTAAAGAGGCCCAATCCATAGTAGTGGGGGCATGCATATGTTGACACAAGAGATTAACAGCATAAGACAGATCATGACGAGTTACCGTAAGATATTGGAGAGCACCAACAAGACTTTTGTATTGTGTTGGATCGGCATAGGGAGTGGCAACATCGTCGGCGGTTTTAGCGGTAGAGACATGTGTGACCACTGGCTTACAGTCCACCATGCCAGCACGTTTGAGAAGATCCTTCATGTACCGTTGTTGAGATAAAAGCATACCACCAGATAACGGGACAATGTCAATTCCCAAAAAGAAAGAAGGCACATCTATATCACGAACTTTAAACTCAAGTATCAATTTATTAATAAGAGCAGTAACACGGTATGAGTCAAATGCCATAATCAAAATGTCATCAACATACACCAAGAAATAAAGACAAACATTATCACGAGTAGGGGTGGTGGCGGTGTTGAAATAGGAAATACATTTAATTGAGATAAAATAGAAATATCAACTTTAGACTATTTTTGATAACTCAAGAATAATCTAATATTAGAAGGAATAGTCTAATATTAGATTTCTCAGAAATCTCAATTCTCCTTATAAGATGAATATGTCATTTTTAGGAACACATAAGAATAAATGTACCAAATAAAGGGATAGGCCTAATACATTGTATAACCATATTGGGGTCTCTGGTTATTTTATCTTTCCCAGAAGCCCTCGCGACTGCTCAAATTTAGCAAACGGGTCTGCAATTGGCTCCATGCTTGATGCTTCTCAATTGACAGCTTGGGAAGAGAGGGAGCTCAACGGTATATTCTCTTCCTCTAAACTGCCTCGTTTCACACAGTATCCATCGCTCATGCCAGCTTCAGCGGCCAAAAACCTAGCATTTCTACTGCGCTGCGCCGCCAGACTATCCAGCACTACCTTCCCTGCCACCGCCAAGGACAGCTTCTCAAGGCATTGCTTCTCCTTTACCTCCACCTCAACCTCTTCCGCTATCAACCGTTTCGTTCACTCTTCCAGCTCTACGTCTCGCTCCGCCGGCTCCCCTTCCGAGCCGCTTAGTGACATCGTCGCCGAAAACTCGGGGACTTGTTCTTCTGATGATGGCAACAGTTGTGATCACGGTATGCTATTCTTTCTCGCTGTTCCTTTTTATGTGCCCTCTCAATAGGTTTCAGTTCATAATGGTTATTGGAAATGCCACGGAAAAATGCAATTCTCTTACACTGAATTTTTTGTATGGACGATATTACTGTTGCTTAGCTCTCCTAGGAGAATTGAAGTGGATAATGTTCCTAATTTTGATGTTTTGTCTATCACAGAAGATCCGACTACGGAGTTAGCAAGAGAACTATCTTCCTTATTGCGTGGTATGTATATGTATTTTGTATTTGTTGTTCAAAGTTTGTATGTTTAAGCTACACATAGGCATACCACATAATTGTGTACACATTGATGTGAAGCAACTCAATTTATTTATTTATTTTGGCTAGCATAAAACAAAATCTAAACTTATACAACTGATCCCTCATCTCATGAATTGGGGTTGGGTATTTTGGCCAATTTTAGTGGAGGAGCAATTTAGAAAGTTTATTAACTATAGATGCTTATTCACAAACTGATAGAAGCTAACTGTATTCAGTTTGGCTAGTATTCCGAAAATTTTGATAAGGAATCACATTTCATTGGTGTGTTTTCTGGCATATATCTTGGAGAGTGGAGGGCATCAACTAAAGTCTATGTGGCATAGTTAACTGGTGAACTAAAACACTTTTTTCTTTCTCCTGCAATTGATATTTTCAAGAATTATTTTATACATCCATAGGCTTTCTTGTTAACTGCAGTTGGCATAGATTCAGACTTGGTTAATTCACCCAAATCACAAGTGACTAATGATGATAAGTCTCTGGAAAATGTTTTGGGTGTACCATGGACTTCAAGCATTTCACATTGTAATGTATCATTTGTTCAGAAGGAAGTTTCACAAGAAAGGCAGCAAAAATCGACTTACAAGAGTAGTCAACAGACTCATCTAGAATGCTTAACTGACTTGTGTGCCAAGAAAATGGGGACAGAAGATTCAGACTTGGTTAATTCACCTGAATCACAAGCGACTAATGGTGATAAGTCACTGGAAAATGTTTTGGGTGTGCCATGGATCTCAAGCATTTCATATGATAATGTATCATTGTATCGAAAGGAAGTTTCACGTGAAAGAAAACGTAAATGGACTTATAAAAGTAGTCGAAAGGCTCGGCTAGACTGCTTAACTGACTTGTGTGCCAAGCAAATGGGTACAGATGCTACAATTCTGGTGCTTGGTAAACTGGGACGAGAAACTGGCCTGAAAGAGTATAACGCAATAATACGTCTTTCTGTAGAAAAAGCAAGGAAAATGGACACTGTAGAGGAGTCACTGGAGCAACTTTCCAATGCTTATGAATATCTTAAAGCAATAAAGGAACGGGGTTTCCAATTAGAAGAAGAGACTTACGGTCCAGTTCTTATGTTTTTCATTGATTTCGCCATGGTCACTGAGTTCCACTTTTTCTGTGAACTCATTGGGGATGGAAATGCTGGTTCACTTCCAAATTTAGCTTACTATGAAATGTTGTTCTGGATAAAGACTGATAATCAAGATAAAATTGAGGAGCTCCTCTATTCTCTTGCTCTTTATGACGGTGAAGACAAATATGCTTTTCTAGGTTTGTAATTTTTAACTTCAATGCTCCAAAGCTCAGTTTAAATATGTTTACATGTTTTGGTTATTTCATCTACAGTATTCATCTTAAACATAGCATTTTGTAGTTTCAAGATGTGGTATGGATTTGTGTGCTGTTTGGATTTTCTTCGGTATTAATTCTCTATTTATCTTTTCATTCTTTATTTATATATTCTCATGTTTGATTTTGGTAATTGTGTTCTTTATGTTGTTTATTTTTCATATCCATGATCCATCCACTCGAAAGTTTTTCTGGGAGGTGTGTGGCTGTTGTTATTATTTATTATGGAGTATTATCTTTCCTATTGTTTGTTTTGTTTCCTAGTACTGGCCATGCAGTTAAGCTTAAGCCATACATCTTCTTGGTTGTTGGTGAATGAATGTAATACGTTTAACATATCTACTGTTTCTTTACTAACTCTGTAAATGTTAAATTTTAAGTTGCTAATCCATAGTGTACTAGTTTAGAATATATTTCTTTTTTAATCTGCTGTATGCTTACGGTGTGCTATTTTTTACTTTTAATTTCATTTATTTATGAACTGAATTACTTATGTATACAGATGAGATGCATTTAAGTTTAAAATTTTAGAGGTGATATGATTAATAAATATTTTTTCTTTAATTTTAGTAATTCAATATAGAACAATCTATAAATTTTCCATGTTTTGACTTTATTTTTATTTATTTTATGTTGGGAATACTAAAGATCAGGTTGAGGACCTAACAATTTTAAAAAATTGATGCAGAAAATTATTTGTTAGCTATGTGTAATGGCGGCTGCAAAAAGGGGTTTATGCGGCTTTTAAACACTGTTGACATAACATCAGTTGCATCCGTGAAACATCTATCTAACATCTTCAAGTTGTTGGGAAAGTTAATGTTGGAAACATTTGCAGAGAAATGCTTTCTGGATTTGAAGACTACAGGTATGTCATTAACATTTTATTTTGTTGGATTAATTGTATTCACACTTTGTTAACTCATTGATTTACCGAAGGTAATGATGTCTAACTGGATTCATCTTTAATAGGTGAAGATTTTCAAGTGGTTTTATGACTATTTTTTCAAATTGTATTTTTCCATCTGAAACAGCTTAACAATGTATTAGTAGTGTAGTGTGGTTATGTTAATATAATATTTTAGACGAACATATTTTTTTTATACTTGATATTTTTGAATTCGTGGTACGTATGTTAGGAGTGGACTTTATGTACATGTGCAGCAATCAGTTTTCCGTTCTTTTTCAAATAGTTCAAGTAAATATCCATAATAATGTTACTGAGTATATGAATTATTAATGAAGTACTAAATTTCAAATATATCTTTAACATGCATCTTGATATAATTCCCTAAATGCAGACATTGGAGCAGAAAATATCTCAAGTTTCATCTATGAATATACAACAAGCATGCCAAATTTAAAGGTAGGGAATATCCATTTTTTTTCTTTAACATATAGCTTCATGATATACCACTTTAAATATTGAATTATTATTGCCAATACTAAATTCAAGTTTTGGTCAAGTTGACCGATTAAATAGTAAAGTGGCCAGTTATTTAGGAATGGAGGGACTGGCCTTAGGCTCAGTTTGCATAAAGTTGTATAGCATAGGAAATTTGGATAAGGGAACTTCTTATCACTGTGTGTGGTAATATCTTAGAATCCTCAGTGGCTCAACTTGAGAGACTTCTGCTTCAGGAGTTTATGCGTCCTACATGGCAAGTCTGGTTACATAAATATAGATATTTGGGCTGGGTGTTCAACTTGAGAGACTTCTGCTTCAGGAGTTTATGTTCTACAAGTCACATTACTAAAACTCTTGATTATGCTTCATCATGTTGGAAATGGAAAACATACAGTTTAATATCAACCTATGGGTACCCTGGTTTAAAACTGCTAGTGATGGGTAATTCACTAGTTCTGTTGAGCAGTTAATGTGACTATAATGACTGGATACTGCCTTTTGATTTTTGATTTTTTGCTCTTTTTTTTTTTTTTTTTTTGAGACCTGTCTTTATTTAATTGGTGATGGATCTGAGGATCTCTAAGTGATTAGGCATAATAATTCAGGTACTATAATGATAACTTATAATGTCCAAACATTCAGTTGATGAGACCTCTGTCATCTAAGGTGCCTGGATAAGGCCATTGGATGCAGAAACCTAAGCTGCATGGTCCTATAATGCTGCCTGCTTCAAGATGATTTTTCAAGAATAAGAATCATTTATCGTTGCTTTGATTGTACAGTCTTGAAGCATTTTCTTAATGGAAGTAGCTACCATGATAATTACGGGAAAATGCAATATTAGTGGACTTACTGTATTTTAAACAGAAAGCAAGGATTTGGAACATGTTGGAAATCCAAAACTGAAGGACCTGTTACCTTTATGGAAATTGTTAAGAATTCAACTTCACAAATCAAAGTTATCACTACTCAAATGATCTTCAGTCTACTAGCAGTTATTCATTTGCAAGATATTTGTTTTTGCCTTTTAACTTCTGTTTAATATTGAAGAGACATTAAAATACACACCTTGTAGGCTTATACAAGGCTATTTTGACCTCATGGAGTATGTATACACAAGCCACTTGTACTAGAATCTAGTGCTTTATTCTTTTTTATTCTTTAAATCTTTGTTACTCTATCTTTGCCTGTAACCTTCTTGTTGTTTAGTAGTTGGACTTAGATTGCTATGGGCTATGGGCCTTAAGATGTGCTTAATCATTTGTTTCTTAGTTCAACATAGCATACATCATTGTCATTTGAGGTTTCAAAGTCAACTTTATGTTCTTTTGTTATCCGTGCATTGTCAATCTTTAATTGTTTGTCCTCATCTTTTATGTGTCTCCTCCTGATTCAACTCTGCTATTGAAATGAAAGGTTGAAGATGTTGTTCTTAAATTCAAAAACTTGCATTCTGAGTTGGATGTGGCACTTACATCTGAACAATGTGAGAAGCTCATCAGGTTCTCCTGTGAGTTACTAAAGGTATGAGTTGCTTCTTTTTTAAAGTTTCTCTTACTAAGGTTGATGGAGATTGGCATGGACAACACTCCTCCCACATTCCTGCATGGTGCTGGTAAAGTTTTGATCTAAAATACTTGTTTTTACTCAGTCCCTCTGGCACTCTGAAATTATGGTTCTTTTCTGCATTGCTACTAGGTGCACACAGCACTCAATATTGTGGATCAGATGATTGAAGCAGGTTTGTCTTTATCAACAGGGACATTTAATTTGATACTAGATGCCTGTGAAGATAGCTGTGAGTATAATTTGGTAAGTGTTGTTTTCTATTTATTTTCTAATTGTCATCCTCCATAATCCTTAATTGCAATTTCTGCTCAAAGAGTTGGGTAGAATGCATCAATTAGCTTCTTGGTGCAAAGTGTTACCATCTTGCTTTTCATAGTGCTGGGCCGCTGGCATAACTGTAACAACAATTCAGTCATTTGCTGTGTGCCTGTGTCCATGGATACATGGTTACACATAGATGTACTTTAAAGTATGTTCCCTAGAAAAACTGAAAAATGCTAAAGAAAGTGCAAGAGCTTGAGAAGAATTCCTGTGAAAAAAGGCATTTAGAGATGTTTTTTCTGATTGTTTCTTAGAGGTTAATTCATTTTTTCCCCTGAATGTATTACTCACAGAATACAAAAACTAAAGCGGGGGCATACAAAATATTTACATTTGTTTTTCAGAAAAATCAATTAATCAGAATTGACGAGAGCTTGGGAGAGGTCCATAAATTCTTCTAAGTTATGAGTCATGTACTGATTTCACCTTTGCACAAATAATTAATAATATCAATACATGTAATCATGTATATTAGTCAATTAAAATTCTATTGCTTCAATATTTTTGACGTATTGTCAATAATAAACCTTCTGAGAGATTATTTTTACCAGACTTTAAATGTTTCTTTAGTACATGATGCAGTGCAGCAACTGCCATGAAAACATTATGCAAGTTTTACTTTATAAGTTCTAATTTCAAGTTTGTTTATTTAACTGTTTGGTTTTCACATTAAATAATATTCTATTTTCCCATGTTCTGAAGGTTCGTCAGATGTATTTGATCATAAGTTCCCATGATCTGAAACCGAACAATGAGACTTTCCAGAAGTTGATACATTTGAGTGTAAAAATGAAAGATGTAAGTCTTAAGTTATTCTGCAATTTGTTGTGCTTGTGTAAGAACAAAGATGATTTTAATGTACTTCATGTTTCATTTAATGCAGTTTGATGGAGCATACAAAATGATCAAAGACTTGGGGAAATTGAATTTGTTGCCTACAGTTAACATGTACAATGCCATAATGGCTGGTTATTTTCGTGAGGTTGCTTTGTTTCACCTTTATAGATGTTGGATCTTCTGATTTCTGGTTGTTAGAAATTATGAATGAAGTTGGGTGCATTCACTACTATGGGAGGGGATAATTTTAAATTCTATTAGCTAAGGTACAATAGGGTAGCACGATAATAGGGGAAATCACTTCCATTTTGTTTTAACCTTTGTATCTGCCATATTCTTTCAATATAAGTTCATATATACATATTCATGTAATCATGTTTTTGTATGTCTGTGTCTATCAAACTGAATGTAAGGTATCAGTTAGTGCTTTTAGCATGATAGTAGTAATTATATCTTGTGGAGATGTTCATTAACCATATGTCTATAACTAGATAGGTGGTTACTTTAGATTGGGGTGGTTTAGTTTTTTCTTATCTATTGTCATTGGTGTGGTGACTATTTCTTCTAGTATGATTTGTGTTTGACCTATAAAGCTGCTGAATTTGCAGAAAAACATACGCAGTGGGCTGATGGTTCTCAAACAAATGGAACATGCAAATGTGAAACCAGACTCTCAAACTTTTAGCTACCTTATAAACAATTGCAAGAGTGAAGAGGATATAATCAAGGTCCTAAAGCCATTCTTTTCTGAAAATCTCATCTAGTATACTACAATATGGTTTTACTCAGAATGGGTTTGAACATTTGTAAGTTTTGTATATCCATATCTGTAGACAGAATCCAAAAAGACCCAAAATGAAGTCCTCAAGTAGACATAATCTTCTTCCTTGTCCCTCCAAGTCCCAAGAGGTGCCTGGACTTATTTAAGTGTTTTCCAATGCTGTATGACAAAAAGTGATAAACTAGTTGACTCATGTTTTTTTTTTTTTTTTTTTTTTTGGATGAAACACCAAATCTCACATTTCTCACTAGTTTTATTTGAAGTTGTACTCTGCATTTTATGCTTAGTGTTTATTTTTCTTTCATGAATGATTGATTTAGTATTAAGTATTTACTTATGTGGGTGAGAACTCTTTACATTGAATGTCAATCATTACATTGAATATGGGAGAGCAGGGCATCGTCCATTAAGTGAACTTAGTGTAGGGTTTCTATGTTCTAGTAAAGCTTTGTACTGCTGAAAAACAAGACACTGTTATATACCTTCTGCAATTTAGCATCTTGAATTCATGATTGCTTTTCCAACAGTATATTTATTAACAAATATGGTCTCTCCAATTCACTCTCAAGACAATCCATTGGTACATTTTCATTGACAATTTCTTATGATTATATTTGAGTACGTAAATAAGTTACCTTTTAATGATATTTGTTTCTTTGCATGTACATGCATACTTCTACTGATGCAAAACTTGATAAAAATGCCATCTATTCATTTTCGGTTTGGTAATCTGCTTGTAGCTTTATAATGAGATGAATAATTCTGGAGTTGAAGTCACAAAGCCCGTGTACATGTCACTCATAAATGCATATGCAGCCTGTGGACAGTTTGAAAAGGCTAAGCAGGTATTCCTCACCTGTATTTCTCAGTGTGAATTATTTCTTTTCAGCTAGGTTCTTCCAGCATGCTTGTTTTTTATATTTAAACTAGTCAAGCACTCCAGCACACAATCTTTTGCACAGGTAATCTTGGATGAAAGGATACCAGTAAAGAGCTTAAATGAAGTCAAAAGTGTGCTTGTTTCAGCTCTTGCCTCACACGGGCAAATATCTGATGCCCTTGATATTTATGAAGAAATTAGACAAACTAAATGCAATCGGGCACCAAAAACAATTATAAGCCTTATTGTAAGTCTGCTTTACATTTTATTTTTTATTTTTTATTTTTTATTTTTATTTTTTGGGTTTTGTTTTGAAGATCTCATGCATTTGGGCTTTCATCCCTGACCTCCCTTCTTTATAAACCTCCAGGAGCATCTGCAATCTGAAGGAGAATTGGATAGATTGCTTCATCTGCTTGACGAGTTAGATGATCGAGATTACCAGGTTGATGCCACTTTTAGGGTCATATCGTATTGCATTCGGCATAAACAGTTCAGGTTCCATTTTTCTTAGTTTTTCTAAATATTCATTTATTTATTTAATTTTAATTGATCAGTGCAAAATTTTAGAGATTACTTTTAGGGGTGACTTGCCTTTTTTTTTTTTTTTTCCAGACCTGTCATTGGCTTGCTCAAGAAACTCAAGGAAATGTACTGCAACGATGAGGTGGCTAGAGAGGTTCTTTTTGATGAGGTATTCTTTTCTTGTTCACTAATTGTAACTTCTGAAATTTTGTTGCTAGGAGCACATTTCAATCGTGCTGAAGGAATTTAGTGTTGTTTGGATGCATAGAAAGTGTGGGGAAAGAAATGGGAAGATAAAATAGAGAAAATATGCGTGTTGATGAGAAATAAAATCAGTCGATATGAGTGAGAAAAGGAGGTGAAGCATTTATTGAGAGGGTGGGAGAAACAGTGTTCAATTGGATGAGGAAGCATTTTCTCTACATAATCTTTCCTCTCTCTATTTTCTTTTATGTCCAAACACTAAAGTTTACCACTCGTTTTTCTTTACCCATTCTTTTCTTTCCTTGCATTCGCTACATCCAAACATGGCATACATGAATAGAATGGTTTACTTGGTATTGACAGAGGCCACTTTTAACATATTTTTGCAATAGTATATGCACTCTTGAGACCCATTCTTGGGCTGATTACAATTTCTCAATGCTTTTATATAATATGATAAGATGAAAAGTTTTACCTAATCATGGAATAGGTTTTCTGCCTTGTTGCGGAAAAAGAGCCAATAAACTTGGAGATTGGTTGGAATCTGCTTCAAACTATCAAGAATGAGTTGGGTGTCCTCCCTTCCCGCAAGAGTCTTGATTTCCTCCTCAGTGCTTGTATAAGTGCCAAATGTTTACCATTTTGTTTCAAGATTTGGGGAGAGTATCGGAAAGCTGGACTTCCCTACAACACTTTAAATTATTTGAGGTAAAACCCTGCACCTATCTTTTTGTTATCTTAGTCTCATTTGCTTGCTATTGGCTACCAAATTTGTCAAGAGATCAAACTAGTCATTAGTGAACATCTTCTGTGTAACTTGATTGTGCTCCAATTAAGACTGGTTGCAGATCTTGTAAAATAGACCTATACTGTTAAATGGCCAATGCCTTGTAATTTAAGAAATAACTTCTAATTTTCGAAGTAACTTTTATAGCAGCCTACGAGTTCGAAATTTCCTAATTTATAGTGCCCATTTGATAAAGTTTATTTACTCATTTTTGAAAATTTTTGGGCACATATATTGTTGAAATTAATAGATTGAATAATCCACTTTTTACATGCTTGGTAATGTAACTTGGATTATATTATTTAATTATACATAATTTATAGTGTCATTAAGCCATAATCATAAGCTTCACCAAACGGTATTAGTTATATTCTTGGAATATCTAGACTTGAAAGGAATGGTGAATTGAAGATTTTCATATAGAAATGGTACTTCATATAGTTTTCTTGTGCTCTTTTTCATATTTCATTATTTCAATGCCTGTGCAGGATGTACCAAGTCCTCTTGGCATCAGGGTTACGAAAACCTGCAGCAAGTATACTAAGTAAAATTCCAAGAGAAGATCCACATGTTTGCTATGTCATCGATGCATGCCAAAAAACTTACAGAAAAGGACAGAATAGAAGGAATAAAGCTTTTGTCGTATGAAGTAACTTTCCTTCACCAAGCTACTAAGACTTTTTATGTTTATTATTTTTTGATGTTTATTATAACAATGAACCTCAAAAGGAACTAGCAACGAGAATGGCTTGCCTACACCTTGCCGTAGCTTGCTCAAGCCTCTCATTTAATGTCTCTTCTTTCACTGCAGCTTTCACCATGGCCAAGTCCATCTCCATTAGCTTCAACACTCTGAACAGCTCAGTGACCATTCTCTCTTCGACTTTTCCTTCCTCCTGCAACACCTCTGCTTCTTCTCTGGCTCTCTCCGCCACTATTTCTCCAACCTTGGCCAACAGAGCTGTTGACCCATATTGTCGTGCCATTATCAATCCTTCCAGCTTCTCCAAGAAGTCCATTATCACAAACCCAACTGGCTCCTCTATCTGAATAGGCTTAGTTCTCTTCCACCCAATCTCAAAGTTTCGTGGCTCAGGCTTTGCAAGCCCAATTCTTGATTTTCTATCCCTGATGATTGCGGATCTTCGTCGTTTTTCAATGGGGAATTTGTCTGCAGGGGTGGTTGCTACCTCGCTAGGAGTTGGGAAGTCAGGGTCGGTTTCTGGCTCTGGTGTTGAAGAAGAAGTGCATTTGATGGCAAACTGCTTTCGAAGAACTGAAGGGTTTGGATGAATTACGTGAAAAGGGAGTTGAAATATACTAGAAGCCATGACTATTGGTAAGTGAAGCACGAAGACTGAAGAATCAGAGTTGAAGGAGATGGATATATGATGATAAGGTCATTTGTCTGCTTGTTGGTCCTTTTATATGGTCTGAACCGGAATTATCTGTTTTAAATTTATTAAGGGTTAGATATTTTAGTAGTCAATAGCTGGTCAACTAATCCAGAAAAATAAAGCAATTCAAATTTTCTACACTCGATTCTTAAATAGTTAAATGAGAGAATAGTAATTTCGTTTAATACTTTTCCTTCATCGAATTGCAACTTGCAAGTAGTTTGAAATGCTTTGAGCATTTACTACTCAAAAATTACTTGAAGAGGTAAGGTATATGAGCCTATGACAAATTATGGAGTCTACCTTGAATTGTGGATTTAAATGCAACACATAACATAGTAACTACAGACACATAATATGTTATACTTCGTAATATATTATGTATTTATAGTTAACATATTATATGTTTATAATTATTATTGTGTTATGTGTTTGTAGTTACCGTGTAGAGTTTGGATAATCTCCATGACAATTTGTTCTTCCTTGTACTTATACTAGGGAGAAGAAAGTGACCAAATTAAAAGCCAAGCTAGGGTTGCAATGTACTCCGTATTACATTTTCCCATTCAAATACATAAATAGTTCTTAGAATTCTTCGCTTCATAACAACCATTATATTGCTCTTTTTATATTTCTAAATTAACATAAGACAACTACGCATGCAGTACATATATGAATTGAACAACACAAGCATTACATATATATAAATCAAGCCTGCATTTGAACAACCACATACTCATTGGACTCAACTGAAGATGTAGATGCTAAAACACTTGGAACTTGTCTCTCCATCCACCACTGCCGCCATTCATCAATGCATAATGGTTGTTTGGGACCCATGTTTGAAAGTTGATGCTCCTCAAAATGCCTTAGAATATATTCTGTTTCTCCTAAAAGAATAGTCGCATCACGAACGCTTTTCTCCCTTTCCTCAATAACATTGCATTTGCACTTGGTAATTATCACATCGGGCAAATTGATAAGACAAGCTGTCAATATGTCTGCAATCATGCATCTTAACTTCTTAAACAACTCTTCAACTTGGCATTCGCCATTTTCATAGAACAGTAGAATAGTCCGACTAATTCTGTACATTGAATTAGCGGCTAAAACATTTGCAGGCCAGAAAAGAGGATTTTGCACTAAAATTTTGTTTCCTATAAAGCTAAACTCCATAACAATCTGTTCAGCTACACGGGCTAGAGTTTGGATAATCTCCTTAGCAGAACTTACTTCCCTAATTTTATCCTTAAGATCCACGCCGAACCACTCCTTGTGAAGCTCCACTCCCACCCACACAACATTTGCTGCATCTTTTATGCTTTTCAACCCACACTTGTAATCTATAAGGCTTGTGTAGCGAAGGCCTTCATCAACACTACTTACCAATTCATCAATATATTGACTTGCAATGTTTGGAAGTGCAATGGCAATAGTTGTTAGTGTTACCACCGGAAGTGTCCAACAATTAGGAGGTTCACTAGATAATAGAGTTGAAACTCGATTACTATCAAATTCTGCTACCCCACTAAAAGAGAAACCGTGATAATTAAGAAGATTAAACAGATTTTGTGGCCATTTCATCTTACCCATCTCAATATGTGTATCCATCATGTCAGTAATCTTTCTCAATAATCTTTTCGGAAGCTGTCTTTCTCCTTCGAGTAGTATTACAAAGCAGTTGAGATCTACCTCATCATCACTCTTTTGATGATCTAAAACTTCACTTTTGTGAAACAATTTACATAAACGATTAACTAAAAGTACTAATGGAAGCACGGAGTAAAACGAGAGAACACAACAGAACTTGCACCACATGACAATCACAATCTGAAGTAATATGCACAAATTCAAGATTAGCCATTTGATGTTATATAACAATTTTCTGATTGTGCGGTTCTTAAACCTTAAAGCTATTGAACTCTGTCTCCACTCCACCAATCTTTCAGTCCAATAAGACTCAACTGTGAACTCTTCTCTACTTATTTTGATCCCATTAGCCTCATACTTATCACCCATGACACCAATCAAGAAGATTGTAGCTATGACCACAGAGGGTACAGTGACAGCAGATTGAGACAATATAATGAACATGACAGACCACTTATACTCAGATTCTTCCTTGCAGTGAGACGATACCCACTTTTCAAACGCGTGTCTCATCCTATCAATCGCTACGAAGATAATAATGGCAGAAAGTAAAGAAACGACGCTCGAAGAAATGAAGGTGACCAACCTTTTCATAAGAAACTGGGGGCTACCAGAGGCTGCCATCACCCAATACTTTGTAACACTCAATCTCAGCTCTTCAACTGTGCAATATTCTTGTTGTTGCCCTTTCATCATCTGTTCATCATCTGAATCTAGCTTCTGATGATAGCTCAGCTCTGCGCGTTTCTTGATCGCTGGAACTGCTAAAGCCGAGCAGAAAACCGTGATGAACATGCAGATCAACAGAACAATGGCGAAGATGATCTCGGGGAACAACGAGTAATCAAGTGCACCGGTTCGTAGCTGGATGCATAAATCTGCAACCACGGTGATCACCAGTATGGTCAAAGCGGTTCGAGTGGCCAGAACATCTGTGTCATTCATAGAGCCCAGTGTGGTGAAAAAACAGCCCATAGCCATAGTTAAGAAAGCAGTGCTTGTGATCTTGACGATGTTGTCTTTGGCAGACCACATGGGAGATGTGAGATCCCCTGTGAGCTTGGTAGCCACAGCTAATAGTGTCAGCCATGTTGCATTGAGAGCAAAGAATCTGCCTGACAAGTCCAAGTTTAATTTGATTGAGGAGTTGCGGAACATAGCCAAGGAGCAGGCTAGAGAAGCAGCTGCTACATAAACGCCTATAATTGGCATGGGAGAATCATTCCTCTCTTTCATTTTTCTAACAAATATGGAGCAGTTGTGGCTCATTTTGATTAAAGGGAACTCAAAACTTCTCACTCTCAGTAGTTTAATTAGCTGCTACATACAACATCTGATCTACAAAGGTTTTTGTTCCAAGAAAATGAAACTCGCTCCTATATATGTAGTCCCAAATTTACACCTAACTTTATCTCATACATACTCTCAATTCTTTGATGTAGATAACTTTTTCTATACCAATTAAAATATTCTATACATGCTTGCCACATTAGAGAGTGTGATCCGAATTATCAAACCCCATAAATAAAGGAAATAATAAATGGATAATATAATGGAAAAGACAATAAATGTGGGTCTCGGAGACAAAAGATTGTATTAATATGTTGTGTAATGATATTACAATAGGACTTGTGTTTAGAGAAGGGGAGTGAAGATTGGTATGATCGACTTGTCGTCAAAGTTCGCGACCCCTATCGCCTCTTTTCTCCACTTGCTCAAGAATTCAGCCAGGGTTTCCGTGCTCTTCTGCATCAGGTAGCACAAGTCTACGAATTGTTTCTTCTCATGAATGCTGCTTGCAAAGTACGATAGGAACCGCTTAGTGAGGGTCGCGAAAGTGGAAATGGACCCCTCTAGTAGGGACCCAAACCAATCTTGCACATGGCTGTCCAAGGTCGTGAAGAAACCTCAGCACATAATGACATCACTAGCCCCGGTTATCATCATGGCATATCGATACCTGGTGAGATGAGCCCGAGGGTCTGTCGTCCCCGAATACGCCTTGATTGTTAGAAAACGAAAGTCCTTGGTGAGGGGCTCGGTCATGATCGCCTAAGTGAATGGGGTAGATAACACATCTTGGGGCTCAGGGGACCTATCTCGCTCATCAACCTTCCTCGAGCTCATCCATCCGCCTCTAGAGCTGCTCGATCACATCCCGGTGGGAGCCCAGGGCTCGGTCACTGATTTCTCCCAACTGCTTCACCCGGGAAGCTTGCTCTCATCGCGGCGGGGCTCGGAGCCCACGACTCGACGACCTTCTCGAGAATGACTCCTCCACTGGGCGTTCGTTCCAGCCGACCTTGGCCCTAATTGGTCGTGGGCCGTCATACGGGTGCCCAACCGCTCCAAGGCAAAATTGGTTTGGGTTGGTCAACCCCTACTTGCTCCTCGGTGCCTTTGTCGGTCTTGGCTAATACCACCCCCTCCTCGTTTGTCTGACGGTCGGGGTGAGTTGACCTTCCCATCGATTTGAGTTCCCATGGCTTGGGCCTTGGGGTAGCCCGGTGCTCGGCCACCGCGTTCCCTCAAGGTGGGCGGAGTGGAGGCCAGCACCCCTTAAGAGAGGCATCGAGGCCGAGCAGGGGGGCTCGGACACCTCCTTGGAGCCCCTCCACGAGGCCGGTCAATGCGGTGGCAGCTTGTTGGATGGCGACTACCCCCTCCTGGAAGCTCGGGACCAGAGGGGGAGCAGTAGGAGCAGACCCACTGTTGCGGTTGTTGTTGAGACGATCCCATAGGTCCCCCGCCGACCTCACGGAAAGGGTTTGTTGCCAACTAGTGGTCTCGTTGAGGCCGTTCCCGCTTGGGATGGCACGAGTATAGTTGAGGGAGTAGAATTTAGAAGTACGTATTATAAAATTCATTCTAATTTTCTTCACCCTATTAATTAATAAAATATGAGTGTAGGGTCGGGTTCGATTCCTATCACGAACATGGGGGTTTAGGTTTAGGTTGAGTTGAGCTCCTTGTGTGTACAAGTGTAAAGTTTAATTTGGTGTTGCTTTTTGGAGCTAGATTTGCTTAATTTGCCTCTACATGTTTATACCATGAACTATGATCAACCTTACATTGTAAACATTGATCCAAAATCAGTTTATGTATCTGTAGTTAATAATTTGTACTTCTAAATAAATTAAGTGTACATTATAATACATACATAATTTACTAACTATACATAATTTGTTAAATGCATATATATAATATGGACGTGGTCCATAATATAACAATTGATTTACCTCTTCATTAGTTTGACGGTGAGTTCATGTGGTTCAAGATATAGTTTGACGAAGTTAAGAAATCGAGTTATTAGCATATAAAATAGGAATAAGGGTCAAATAGG